ATTATGTACTTTATAATACAAGAGTTAGGGCATAAGTCATGGCAACTATTTATTTTTGTCAGAAAACTGACTTAGGTGGAAAATGTAAAATATAGACATGAAAGAGCAAGACATGAACTGAACAAATGGACATTTAATGGCACACCAAAATTGGATTTCTCGTGTTTCTTAAGGTATTTGAAATGACAGTACTGATTTCAAGTTCCAAAGCATTTTAGTATAAACGAGTTCTCAACATTCTAAAAGCATTACATACATGTTCTAAAGGCCCAATCAGGCTCTTGCTCGACTACCGCAAGTGCCACATAGGTCCGCAGTCGCGGGTCGCCGCCTGCGTTGCTAATCACTTGTCGCTACGCGTCCTCGCAGAAACTCTCCTGCCCATGTCGCGACTGTCCGGAATGGAAGGTCGTTATTCCCAACAGTTTCCACCAATTCCATGTGATATTCGTAGGCATTTCTACTGCGGAGAACGGCTATCTTGGAGAGGGGGAGATTGTCGAAACGGGTTACATTCTCTCACACGGCGGTAGTTGGACAACTGATTTTACGTTGTTCTGTGCTATAAAGAGAGACAGCCATCTGTTAATGTGAACACGCCCTACTGAAGCATTTCTTTCGCACTACAAATGAAATTGTGCGATTCGGTAACATTTGTTGAAAAAAATAGTTGCCATAACTTCTGCCCCAACCCTCGTGTGTATATATTTATAAATATTGTTAAAGATCGCAAGTCAAGATTTTTTTTCTTTAATGAATTGGAAGCAGTTCATTAAAACCGGGTCAAAGACCGTTCGCGGTCTTCCCGACGCGTTCCCCTTCGAACTTTCTTACCGAGCGTCGTGCGGCCGATCCTCCTCACATGGATCATTTCCCGCGATAAAAAAAAAGACTCCAGCATTACTGCGAGTACCCGGGCTCGAATCGGACTGCAGCTACCAGACAAGGAAAACGGAACCATCACCTGCGTAACCGCAACTCCTCAACTCCTAGCTTCCGACCTACCTCTACCCATCTTCTCCTTCCCTCCTAAAACGCAAATCCCACCGGCGAAACGTCGACGGGATCACCTGCAGCCGGGTGATGTAATTTACTTGATGCGGCCGCTCTGACGCACAAAAAATTTAATTCGAACCGCCGGCGGCCCGAAATAGCCGAGACAAACCGCAGAGCGGAGCGCACACGCGCGCGCGCAAGGAAACACAAACGGCGCGGCGCGGCGCGCGCGGTGTCACACACCGCGAGTGAGTGATGGCGCTCATCGCACGCCCCTCGGCATCGCGCGGCGAGGCCCTCCATTGCACAAACAGCCGACGCGAAGTAGACCCAATACATCTCCTATAATGAGATGTAACGTGAGGCTTTCCAATATTCAAATATCGATTACTTCCACTCATACCACCGTCTAAGTATGATAAAATGTAAAATTGTAAGATTACCACCGTCACTAATACCACCGTCTAAGTATGATAAGATCTAAGTATGTAAGATTGATGTTAAGATACCTGCACTCTTTGTATTGTTCCTTAATACTGCCAGTATTGTGTTTAAAATTAC